ACATTCGCCTCTTCCGTTTCATCAAATGGGGTTATGATCCATGGTGATATTTCCACCGTCAGAATATCTTCAAATCTATTTTTGAAGTCATCCTGCAGGGTATTTAAATGTTGAGCGTATGCCTGAATATCCTCATCAAGACATTCTATCTGTGACAAGTACGGAAACTGGGAGAATTCACGCCGACTAATATTTTGCTTCATTAATTTCAATTTACCAAGAAAAGCCGAAATTACACCCTTTGTTTTTATTAAATTAAGGCTGTCCCCTTGTAACTGCAAGTTAACTTAATTGAATTTTATGAACAAATCTGTTACGCAATGTCCGCTCTATATTTGATCAGATTTTCTTTTAAATCTGGTGCTTTAGTTTCCAGACACTCTATCACTGATTCGAAAAGTGACTAAAATCTCGATAAGCATGCACCTTTCGACAACCAGCGTACTTCAGTATGTAAGAGCAGTCGTTGGAAATCTTCATCATTTTCATCGCACAATAGTGCAAATAAACGGGCATTCAAAGCATTGCTTCTTATTTTATTAACCGGGTTAATCACAAATTGAAGCGATTGGTGCAATCTATCCCTCAAATTTTTCGCTACAAGGTGTTGTCGGTGGATGACACAGTGAAATGCAATTAGTACTGGTTATTCTTTTAAGATGGCTTATAAGCCCACGATATCGCCCGAACATGGCAGGAGCTCCATCTGCTGCCACCGAAATAATGTTTGTAAATGGAATAGACTTTTCTGTAAAAAAATCACTCAGTACATTAAATATCGATTCGCCTTTAGTATCCGACTTCAAAGTTTTTGCGAAAAGCAGCTCTTCATGAATTTCTTCGCCTATAACAAATCGAACATATGCCAATAATAATGCTTCATTACCAGGCAAAGTAGACTCGTCCAATCGAATAGAAGAGTTCATTTCATCAATACGCCTGTACAGTGTTGTTACTTAAAGGAATTCTTTTGAGTACCTACGTCAAATGGAGGTTTGTGCAAAACATTTTTTAAAACCTCTCCAATAGCTGGTAAAATTAACTCTTCTCCTATGGTGTGCGGTTTTCCAGTTTTCGCTATAAGCAACCAAATATTGTAAGATGCCCGCAGACCATCATCCTTACTTTGAGACGTTGAAGCAAACATACTATTTACGGTAGGTATCTTTCATATTTTTCCTTCAATGTTTGAAAGTATTTAAGATCTTTACCTATATTTTCAGGATGACACCTTCTTAGATGGTCTTCGAGCTTCGATGGTTTCATATAGTCATTGCTCAGAACTTTGTAGCATAAAAGACCAATCATCATCAGGCAATCGTTTGGGTGCCGTTGACGGAAGAAAACCAAATTTCAAATAATCAACACTGTACTGCCGACATTTCTTCTTAGATTCAGCCATTTTCCGTATCAGTTGTGACCTGTAAAGAAATGTTTGTTTTTGAGGCGATTTTACCAGAATATGGCTATTATAACACAACAGAATAGAATTATTGCAATAAAAAATGCCCGCGAAAACACCGCTCTTTTAATGATTCGCCGTCGTTGCGTAAATAAATATTTTTTAAACAAAAAAGTACCTAGGTGCCTAAAGTTTAATCTTCCCAGGCTTTTTGTTCTTTTATAGAAGTTTTGACTATATTATTAGACTAGTATTTAATTTTTAATACATAACTATACCTACTACACTCAAATAGTAAAACAAATATATGTAATATGATTGATAAATTACAGTATACAATAAAAATATGTATAACAAGTAGGCAGATACTTACTTTTTTCGGCATTGCAAGCACTGACATCGATTCACTCTCAGTCACACTTTTATAATCCAGTCGTATGATGATTGAGATTGGCAGCGTCGTTTACTATTAAAAAACTATGGCCAGCGCACGGTACATAGAAAGCGCGGGGATTTAGATCCAGTAATCTTTTTTGAAGACCATTATTCTTATAAATATAAATATGATAAGGCAATATTTTGTCAGTCTCTATCATACGCCGCACAACACTAATATCTTCAGTCGTCGCCGTAGAAGTAGCACGAGATAGGCCTTCATCGTGAAAGGCCAACAGAAGTCTATTATAACTTTCTTGTTGACTTAAAGGATATCGAGTCATAAAAAATCATTGTACGTAACTTTTCTCGCATTAAATTCATGCTGACGTGACACAGACAATTTTCATTTTGCCACCAAATCGTAAACAAATGACAAATTAATAAAATACATACACAATAATATTACAATAATATTACATACACAATAATATTTTCAAAATTTGAAGTTATTTTTTTATTATATCGTTTATAAGTAGCCAGTTCTAAAAATTTTCAGTGTCGCCCTCGTACGACCTCCATGCTGGCATTAGACGTGTGGCAGGTGGCCCCATCTTTGTTGGGGGATCTTTGCAGGAGTTCTACTTTTGCATTCCAGTGAAAGTGGGCTTCGTCCGACAAAGTGTGTTCCCGAAGTTGGAAATTCGCTTTAATATCAATGTGGAAAATTACGCACTTTTTGTATCCTTTCGGTCATCACGAGAAAGTTCTTGTACCAACTGTATCTTATATGGATGAAGCTTCAAATCACCTCACTCACCTCTAAATCAGCCTTAAACTGCTTCGCGAAATCCCCAAAATCGCTGAACGGCGTCGGGTAGAGTTCCGCAATATCTTGAACAGATCGATTAACCTCCCGAATCGCTTGTTCTGTGTGTGAAGTGCGAAAGCGACCTTGATGTCTCATAGGCAGCGTCGAACCAGTTTCTTGGAACCTCTCGTCATTGTTTAAGTAACTGAGTGCGGGATACTGTCGGATACTCCGTAAATTTAATTTAATCTAAACATAAGCCGCACAATAACGTAAGAATGACCATTTTCGTAAAACGCTCGAACAGCGAACGCGCGATACTCTCTCGTGAACTGACTCTAGGGACTAATTGCCAAAGACGCGTGACACGATTACACCCCACTACCCCCCGTGGTCAACGATCCATTTGCCAAGGAAAAGTGAAGTTTATTCTGACCCGTCCTGTGTATATTTATTGAAATATTTAGTATTTTGGTTATCAAAAACAATAGTAAAAAGGCTAATTAAAAAAATATTTCAGGGATAATATGACTTCGTTTATTCACTCATTTATTTCATATGCGCACAAATAATGCAAATAAAGATACCGGCCTCGGATTGGATTATTTTCGCGGTTCATTTGTAATTGCATAAATATAATACAATATTAAATGCTAGAAATTACACATAATGTTGCGAAATGTATAATACATATTATATAGGAGTTTTAGTATTTATTATACAATAACTTCTACGATTTTTTTAGAAACATCACTAACTCTTTTTCCATGCCATCGCAATGGTCGCATTAAAAGGTTTAATAATAACATCAAGTACTCTGCCATATTATTTATTACTACTTTCAATTTTAATATGGCAGAGTAAATAAAAATTATAAAATTTAAGTTTCCACGGAACCATATGAATTACTAGTACAAAATTTGCGAAAATGTGAATTTTCTCCTTTGAGTTGTATACTCCATAATTTACTGGCTCCGAAATGCTTACCTTATATTAGAGAAAGTTTAATTAATTCATTTCTGACACGGCCAAATATATTAATGAAGGGAATGAAATCCGATCAGAATTATTTTTTATAATGTAACGCCACTATAAGGCACTTGTCCCACCGCCGACGTGGAGGCGGTTAGCTTTAGACTATTTTCTCTCTCAAGAAACGAACAAAAGATATAGGTCTCGTGTCAATAAAATAAGATACACATATTAATAGTTGATTGTCGGCTGTTCACACTGCCGGCGAGAACTCTCTCTCCACTAGCTTGTCGCAGCGACATGAGCTATTAAAGATAAAGCCCATCAGCGATGCTCGCTTGGCGACCAGAACTCACGCCGAGAAACCAATCGGCGGTCATTTTACTCTACAATGTGAATCTGAGTATACTCTCTCTCTACTAACTAACTGTGTAGTTAGTTAGTAGAGACAGACTCTCTTCTCGCTGCTCGCCAACTCTAATCATCGTTGACGGTGGGCCAAGTGCCAAACGAGTACATGAGTGAGTTAAAAAGTTGTAATGTTCTTTTAAGTAATATTATGTGATATACTATTAATACTTATACTAATAGAGGGACTATTTTACGGATTGTATAAAAGGGGTTGGGAGGGGGGCAGGGTGGGGACAAATAAAATGAACACCTATAACCTATAAAATATTACTCTCTTAAGGATTCCAAATATATTATCCAAATTCAGCTAAACAATTTCAGCAACAAATAAGACAAAAACATTTTATCTTTGTTTGATTGGTGGGCGATGTGTTGTTATGGTGAACGATTATTTTATGCTCCTTTGACAAACACTTCTTATCCAGTCTAAAATATTAAAAGTAAAAAAATGCTTTAATTCTATTAGTGTTATTTAGTATTTAAAATGTAAAATAATGACTAATTTTTCCATTCTAAATATTAAACTTCTACACGAATATTGTACATAGTCATACACGAATATAGTAACATTGTCACCTTGCCTTTTTCTGCGGCACTTATTTGGATTTTTTAACAAATGTAATATTCCATAAAACTTTAATATGAGCAAATTAAAAATTTATGATGTTCATAACAAAACCCCAATAATACCATTTTTTTACCAGTGTAAATGTAACATTGCACAAACTTTAATGCTTGAAATGCTTGGAAAGTACTAATTGATAAATGTAGAAAAGGAAAGTTTTAAAGTTTTAATGGCAACATAACTGAAGCACTGTGTGCTTATGCATCATAATTTAACTTTTCAAATATTTATGTTGTGTTTGTGAGATTGCACTATTCATTTATTAGTAATGTCTGTACACATAATTAAAAAAGGAATTGCCATTTAGGTAAATGTTTAAAGTGCATGGATCACTTTTCGCTATTGCATCTATATTATAGGCTCATGACAGTGGTTTCAAAGAAAATGATAACTTAGGTCTTGAATTATTTTTCCCTAGAATTTTCTTCTGTTCTTCTTTTATTCTTTTTTCTTGTTCTTTTTTTCAGCTTTTGTCTTTCTTCATCCATTTTTCTTTGTTCTTCTATCATTGCTAACCTTTCTTCGGCCTGAAAGAAAAAACACAAAGTGCCGAGTGATTATTTATATATATATATATATATATATATATATATATATATATACCCAGATCTTTACAGATGTATAATTTTAAGTAAATTAGTATGTCACCAATCACCAAATAATATTTCACTACTAAACCAGTTTAAATTTAAAGTCATGTAGTAGCTAAACCAATTATAAACTTGTGTATAATAAAATTCTAAAAATTAAATTAATATAAATTTTATAAAATCGAAAATAAAGAAAATCTCCAATTTTCTTTTATGTATTGATTCTTAATAAAAACGGGATCTTCTAAGTTGTAATAAAATAACCAACTACATCAGAGGTTTTAACTTAGTTTAAGTACAATTTTTTTATTTTATCTACATACCAAAGCTTAAATGGAGAGTTATATTGAAGGTTTACTATTTATTTTAAAAAATCACCGAGGGATGAAAAATTATTTAAATATTTATTTAAAACAAAGCATAATATGTGTATGTCACCAATCACCAAATAATATTTCACTACTAAACCAGTTTAAATTTAAAGTCATGTAGTAGCTAAACCAATTATAAACTTGTGTATAATAAAATTCTAAAAATTAAATTAATATAAATTTTATAAAATCGAAAATAAAGAAAATCTCCAATTTTCTTTTATGTATTGATTCTTAATAAAAACGGGATCTTCTAAGTTGTAATAAAATAACCAACTACATCAGAAGTTTTAACTTAGTTTAAATACAATTTTTTTATTTTATCTACATACCAAAGCTTAAATGTAGAGTTATATTGAAGGTTTACTATTTATTTTAAAAAATCACCGAGGGATGAAAAATTATTTAAATATTTATTTAAAACAAAGCATAATATGTGTATATTATATATTGCTTTGTTTATATGGGTTGACTGGTAGAGAATGCCTCAAGGCATTAAGTCCGCCCTTTGTATTCTTTTGTTAAGGATGCAATAAAGAATAAAATAAATAAATAAATAATAATAAAAAGAAGAAAAGGCGAAAACTGCAAAAATATTTTAAAAGGCAGATTTTGAATGTATTTTCGCACAACTATTTTGAATAACATTAACGTATGAAATTTTTGCTGATTTGGTAACAGAACAGTAGAATTCCATAAAGGTTTTTAAATATTTTACGGTTCAGTTCATAACAAAACCCCAAAAATACCATTTTTTTGTTACAACCACTATTAGAACCTTTCCAATTTCTGCTTTACATGTCCAGACCTCCAAATATAACATATTGGACATACTGGCAAGTACTTGAAATTACTCTATCAATGCAGTATTGCTGGACACCATAAATATAAATCAAGTTGCATAGAATTTTCAATGCAGTAGCTCTACCACATATAAAAATATTATAATAGTTGTGTTAAAACTGACCAATTTTCGTTGTGCCTCTTCGATTTTTCTGTTATTTTCAGCCATGATTTCCTCCAACTCTTTCCTTTTACGAGCTTCTTCCTCCTGTATAATAAAAAAAACATGTTATTCCTAATTCTTAGTAACATTGTGCCACAAAACAAAGAAAAAATATTGTCAAAAATGATTGCTTAAGTTTTTGTACCTAAACACACTTTTGTGTCACTTGTATTAATAATAAGGAATATTGTTTAATCAAGTTTGAGTAAAATATCCTGAAAATATCAATACACGAGCAGTATTGATGCATGATTTTAGAAAATAAAACTGTCAACGTAACCATACTAGTTTACAACTAAGTGAAAATACAGTACTTTCTAAGGCACGTCATTTTTGGTGCTAAAATTATTTACCATAAAACTGAATTCATGTATTTAAAACATAAAATGCTGTTAGACAAAAATAGATTTAAAAAATACCTTCAGTGTTCATGACAGGATCCTCAAGCAGCGTCTCCAAAAAATTCTTACGGCTTCTGGTCTTGATCAGTCTTCTGACCTGACTTATACACTACGTGACTGCCAAGGACAGTCAAGTGAACAATTTTAAAATGCTAGCCGGAAGCCTTAATGGCAATCTTACAATAAGGCAGTATAAAACAAAGACAAGTCTGCCTTGAAGGTGCAAATGACATGCATGTGGATTAATGGAGATGTCGAGTTAATTGTTACAAGATTGTCAAAATGACAACAAAGAGTTCAAGAAAATAATTCTTGTTAAGCACTCGAACTACACCTGACTGGACCTTTAACAGATATGATCGAAACAATTCTTTAATTAGTTACTGTTGTACATAATGTCGGAATTACTTAAAACATTGAAATGTACATATTGTGTTTATAATCTGTGGAAACACTATGTTCTCACATGGTAAGCTTGGCCATGTGTAAAAGCAACAACATTGGTTGATTTTACACACGGCTGATAGGTGGAAGATTGAGTTACCTGTCTGGCGAGTTCCTCGCGACGCTGTTGTTCTCGTTGTCGCTCAAGCTCTTGCATCATTTCTGTTTCCATCTTGCGCTTTGCTTCTTCCACTCTTTTGGCTACTTCTTGTTCAATTTCGTCCTTGCGCTTTTCTAATTCTTCTTCAACTCGTTTCTTTACTAGTAATTCTATTCTTTTTGCTGCTTCTTCTTCAACTACCTAATATAACAATTTTCATTACGCAAGTTATGTATACAAAAAACAAAATGTAAATCAGACATTGAACCCTAGAATGGCATGGATCTGTGTTTGCTGAGTTTTCTACGATTAGGAAAAAATTGGTCATTCGAACATTTAAAAAAACAATTCTGAAAATAGATTCTGGTGCTATTTTTTTTGGAACAATCCAAAACTTTGTAACTGTTGCTTTAGCTTTTACTCTATGGCTTCAAATTTATTTGCATCTATTAAGTTATTAATTAAAAACAGTTCAAATGGTTAAGGTCATCCTTATGTAGATTAGCAGAGAAAAGGATAGATGTATTTTTACTACAAATAACATCAATAAGATTTCAGTTTCCTCATATGCTAGCTATGAGAAGCACTATGACTATTATGACAACTACTATATTAGAAGATAAGAATTAGAGATGAAACAGATATCCCGTAACTATCCAGTATTCGGCCTATCCGGCCGGATACCGGATAAGAAACAGCTATCCGGCCAGATACCAGATTTAAAAAAAAACAACACAAAATATCACATTTAGTTAAGTACTCCATTTTTGTCACTTGACAAATATAATTAGTTATCACAAAATTTTCATTTTAAAAATTACAAAATTAGTACTCGTACTGCGCTAAGGCACAGAATAAATAATAGTACTAGGTAGCTAAGGGCAAATTGTGGTGAATAAATACTAATTTCTCTCCATTGAAAGGTAACAAGCGGCTTCAGAAGTCTTTTGCTGTACACTGCTGCAGGGTACTGAAAGATAGATTTTGGCAAACTTTAATAAATTTGGGTATTGTGTAGCAACTATAAAGCAAACCTGCCCACCAAATATAAGGGTCTTGATCACGATCAGTTTGTATCATTGTATCACTGACTTTTCTTTTCGCTACTTGCGATGCACTAAACGGCAATGTTCGGCAGAGTATCTGGCGGCCGAATATCCGGTATCTGGCCAAACACCTGATCTGTCAATCTGTTTCAACTCCAATAAGAATACTACATTAGAGAAAAAAATATGGAAAAGGAATAGGTAAAGAGAGAATAGACACTCTTTTTATATAAGGGTCAATTTATTACTAAAAGTGTGTCCAGTTCTTTTTACCTTATGAAATACAGGAATATTATGCTATGCTACATTAGCATTTTATGAGATTCTAGTCCTTCCCCAGTCAAACTAAATTAATATCAATGTATTTTTTTTTAAATATTCTGCAGCCTATCTTAGCTGCCATCATAATAATAAGGCATGATGTTGGGATATCAAACACTTCAGTACCAAATAAGTTCAATTAAATGTGATAAAAGTTTTATTGTAAGAAGTATTAATGGTGTTGTAAGACACACATTCGCTTATAACATATTAAATCTAACTATAAAGAGATGTATGTATTAAGAAACAATTGATATGCAACACATTTTTAACCTACTTTTGTAAAACTAGAAAATAATTCACAAGCCATAAAAAAAGTAAACATTAATTTTATAGTTTATAGCTGTAATAACCTTTTGCTCTGCTTCTCTAACTCGTCTTTGTCTTTCCATTTCTGCTAGCCGGTCAACTTCATCCATTTTACTACGACCTTTTGACTTCTTCCTTCTGCTGCCATCATATGAAACATCACTAGCACTTGAAGACGATGCAGAACGTGATCGTTTTCTATAAAGGATTGAAAATAAATAAGTTATGCTTTCAAAAGTTTATAGCACCAACGTTTTTCATAAGTATTATTATGAGCACCTGGATTTGGAACTCCGTTCCTTAGATTTTTCGACATGTTTTGAATTCCTACTCCTAGATGCAGAACGATCTTTAGATCGACTTTTCTTCCTTGAGTGTTTACTACTTTTGTGATGCCGCCTGGGTGACTTGCTTCTTGACCTCGATCGACCCATGTTAAGTAATTGAGTAATTTCTTATTCTATTTGTATAGAAATTAAACTTTAATGATAAACGCTTCCACTGCACTGCCCACAGAACACATATACCCATAGATTACTGCGTATATACTAGCATATACCACAGAGCACAAAGTACTTTTTTATATAGGGAAACATATACCCCTAAAGGAGGCACTGCCTGCCTCACTTAGAACCACAGATTATAGCTATGGATTACAGATACAGATTATTTTTTTATTAAGCATGTCGATCTGGACTTTGGACTCTGGAAGTTTTTACAAAGGTACTCTGTGATCTGGATTCGATTATTTAAAAAATCGATTATATCATGTAAAATAATAAAAAAATCGTAAAAAATCCATTTTTCAGAACGATATGGAACACTACATCGATTCGATGAATCGATTCAAAAACCTCTCGAATAGAACTGATTCAAGAACTAGCGATAAAGTTCTTAAACTGACTGCGGTATCTTAGTTTTGTAATTTTTAGCTGTTGTCGGACGCAAAAACAACCGGTCAAATAACAAAATATTTATAAACGCATACAAGGACGTCGTTACTTACGTTACTTATTAAAAAAAGTTGTCACTGCAGGGCGCCATTCAAGTATGTATTACGTAAGCAGAATTATTGTAATTTTTATCGCCCCCTCGTCAGCAAAAGTAAGCAAAGCTCTTACAGACATACTTACGTAAACATTTATATAAGTATTTTTTAATTTGTTCTGGTTTCCTTACAGGTTTCATGAGTAGCAGTTAACAAGTATAGAAATTAGGAATTTTTATTCCACAGAGAAATTAACTTATAATTGTTCCTAATTGTTCCTGTGATAGCCCAGTGGATATGACCGCGCGCCTCACATATGTGGAGTTGAAAGATCAATCCCAGGGTCCTTTGAAGTTGAAAGATCAATCAATCTCTGGATTTTCGAAATCTAAGTGCGGATTTATACCACTATCTCGGCAGTGATAACCATGATCCAATTTGTCTGGTTTTCCAGCCTAAGGGTTACGAAGATCAGATGCCAATCGCTTCATTGTAATAACCAGACTCACCAAATCCTGGATCATGGTCGTATCCTGGGCCCAGGAGCGAGAGCTTGGGAGCAAAAAGTTAATAGAAACTAAAGGCATCGGTTCGGCAATAGTACAGCTTGTGGAAGGCAACGGGAAACCACCACATATACTTTCCCAGGAAGATCATTATGGCTGAGAACAATATAAAAATGGACCTCAGTCCCCGGCAAACCTTAGATGGTCAGAGGGTGTGAAGAATCTCCGGGTCAGCCATGACGATTGCTACGTGGAACGTCAAGAGTATGTCCTATAAAATGCTTATAAAAAAGCACCTATAAAATGGTGAATATAGAACGGGAAATGCTAAGGCTTAAGATAAATATCCTTGGAGTGAGTAAGGTAGGCACCAAGGAACTGGAGTCTTGGTACGGGATGACACAGTAGTGTATTATAGCGGTAATAATGATAAAAATCACTACAACGTTGTGGCCGTTATCATCAGCAGACATTTACATCATCAGGTCCACAGTTAAAACCAAAACCCAGAAATATTCAGATAGTCTAATTGGGGAGGGCAAAGTCTCAGACATCGTAGGTTCATTCGGATTGAGAAAAGGAAGCGATCGCGGTGACCGCCTTTTACAATTCTGCGAAGAACACGGGCTTATAATTTCCAATACCCACTTTAAGCAACCTCCAAGAAGATCGTATACGTGGACGTCATCATTACATTCGCCCAAGAAGATCGTTCTTAATCAAATAGATTACATACTACAAACAGTGGTAGAGCCACGCGGCAGCTTTGCTGTTGCACGTATGGGCCGGCTCAAACCGGGGTGGTACCACGACCTCACAGAATACCGGCGTGAAGTGGAAGCTCTGCTTCCGCGTTTCGTCTGGTGAGTGCAGGTGGCCGGAGGCCCAAATCCCCCCCCCCCATCAACATGGTAGCGGAATTAAATAATGATCGACTACCCCAGGAGGGTACCAGCACCCCTGGAGAATCCCTCGCTGAGCATCCACGACCATGTTTCTCCACTTCTGAGCGTGGGTGCTCAGGCTGCCCCGCGTATTCTGGGGGGGGGGGGGCAAAATTCCGCTCAAGACTACAACTGCTCGGGGCAAACGGAGCAACAAGACCAAGGCGACCCCTGCCACGCTGTCCGTGAATTTCTGCAATATCAGGGGACTTCACTCTAACCTAAACGCCGTCCACTACCATCTCGAGACGGCGAGGCCGGCTCTGCTCTTTCTGACCGAGACGCAGGTGTCCTCTCCGGCTGATGTCTCGTATCTCTCGTACCCGGGATACAAACTGGAACACTCCTTTGTGCCTCGGGCTGGAGTTTGCGTTTACGTCAGAGAGGACATCTGCTCTCGACGCCTCGGCAGACTTGAAGGTTCGGACCTGTCCATCCTTTGGCTACGCGTAGACAGCGACGACCATCCGCGCGTCTACGGGTGCCTCTATAGGTCCCATAGCGGTAATGCCGAAACAGACCGACTATTCGACCACGTCCAAATGGCTGCAGATTCGTTGCTACAGCAGATCCCCTCCGCAGAGATCGTGATCCTCGGCGACTTTAACGCCCATCACGCCGAATGGCTTGGTTCACGTTTAACCGATCATGCGGGGGAGATCTGTTCATGATTTTGCCTTGGCATATGGTCTGAACAATTGGTTACTTCGCCTACGCGGATTCCAGATGTGGAGGATCATGCACCTTCCCTGTTGGACCTTCTGCTGACCTCTCACCCGGACGGATATCAGATATCCGTCGACGCCCCTTTAGGCTCCTCGGACCATTGTCTTGTCCGGAGTGTGGTGCCACTCACGCTGAAATCTCGGTTGCATTCTGCAGGCTGCCGCCGTGTTTGGCACTATAGGTCAGCCGATTGGGATGGGATGCGGTCTTTCTTTGCATCCTACCCTTGGGGGCGGGTTTGCTTCTCGCCGGATGATCCCAACGTTGTTGCGGATTCTGTCGCTGATGTGGTACTTCAGGGTATGGAACATTTTATTCCTTCCTCTGTGGTGCCCATTGGAGGCAAGTCTCAGCCATGGTTTGGTCGCTCCTGTAAAATAGCATCATGCTATAAGCAGGAGTGCTACCAAGCTACCAAGCCTGGGCTGATGCATCAGCGTCCCGGGATGTAAACACCAGCGCTCTAAAAAAGAAGTATAATTCCGCCTCTAGGTCCTTCAAAAGAGTCATTGCCAAGGCAAAGTCAGAGCACATAGGCAGAATTGGCGAGAAACTAGTTCGCCTTCCTTCTGGAACCCGTGCATTCTGGTCTCTCGCCAAGGCTGTCCAGGGGAATTTCTGTCAGCCATCTCTTCCATCTCTGCACAGGGAGGACGACTCACTGGCCCATACCGCAAAGGAGAAAGCCGATCTTCTAGGCTCTTTCTTTGCGTCTAACTCGACTCTCGATGACGGGGGGAGTACTCCGCCGACCATCCCGCGGTGTGAGTGCTCCATGCCGGAAGTGCACTTCACACAGCGCTCGGTTCGCAAAGCACTCCTCTCCCTGGACATCCACAAGTCGAGTGGGCCTGACGGAATCCCCCCAATTGTGCTGAGGACGTGTGCTCCAGAGTTGGCACCGAGTTGGTTTAACGCGTCTTTTCCGGTACTCCTACTCCCTAGGCGTAGTCCCAAAATCATGGAAGACGGCTTACGTCCACCCGATCCCTAAAAAAGGCGACCGCTCTGACCCGTCCAACTACCGGCCAATCGCCATCACCTCCTTGTTCTCCAAAACAATGGAGTCCATTGTAAACTGCCAGCTCATGAGGTACCTTGAAGATCACCAGCTGATTAGTGACCGCCAATACGGTTTTCGCCGTGGTAGGTCAGCTGGTGATCTTCTGGTCTACCTAACTCACAGATGGGCGGAGGCAGTAGAGTTCAAGGGGGAGGCATTGGCCGTTAGTTTGGACATTGCGAAGGCCTTCGATCGGGTTTGGCACAAAGCGCTTCTTTCGAAGCTCCCTTCCTATGGGCTTCCCGAGAAATTGTGCGATTGGATCACCAGCTTTCTTGCAGATCGGAGCATCAAGGTCGTTGTAGACGGTGCAAGCTCCGATTGCAAGCCTATTAATGCTGGTGTTCCACAGGGCTGCATGCTATCACCAACGCTGTTTCTTCTACATATCAATGACATGTTGCATACCCGTAACATTCATTGCTATGCAGATGACAGCACTGGTGATGCTCTTTACACCGGCCGAGCCAACATTTCTCGGGAAAACGTCTCCGAGTGCCGGGACAAACTTGTGTCTGAAGTCGAGTCTCTGCTGGACAGAGTCTCGGATTGGGGGCGACTAAATCTAGTCCAGTTTAACCCCCAGAAGACACAAGTTTGCGCGTTAACCGCTAAAAAGAACCCTTTTGTCGTATCCCCTCAGTTTCAAGGCACTCCCCTTGTTGCCTCAGCCAGTATCGGAATCCTCGGCGTCGACATATCGAGTGACGTGCAGTTTCGTAGTCACTTGGAAGGGAAGGCCAAATTGGCCTCTAAAAAGCTTGGCGTGCTCAGCAGAGCGGGACAGTATTTCATGCCGGCACACCGCCTGCAACTTTATAAGGCGCAGGTTCGGCCGCACATGGAATACTGTTCCCATCTCTGGGCTGGGGCTCCCCAGTACCAGCTTCTTCCACTTGACCGCATCCAGCGCAGAGTGGCTCGAATCGTCGACGACCGAGTGCTTTCCGATCGGCTCGATTCACTGGCGCTGCGAAGAGATGTTGCATCTCTTTGCGTATTTTATCGCATCTATCACGGGGAGTGCTCTGAGGAATTGTTCGGATTAATCCCAGCTGTCAAATTTCGTGAACGCACTACACGTCAAACGTCCCGATACCATCCACACCATCTGGATGCTTGGCGGTCCACCACTGTACGTTTCACAAGGAGTTTTCTTCCACGTACAACCTCTCTGTGGAATAGTTTACCACCGGCGATTTTTCCG